AAATAAGTCTTAAATGTTAACTTTGGAAAGTAAAATCAAAAGAAACTAGAATCTGCATTTTTCACACCAAAACAGGTTGCTGTGATTACTGAAAGAAAATAGTGTCAGATGCTTCTAAGTTTAACATTTGGGCCAGACTTTCAAAATACCCAACGAAAGGAAAAACTTCCAAATTCATTTTGAAAAGCTTACAATACACTTAGAGAAGTCATTAAATTAGAGATTCTCTCTGTCCTAACTTCAGATGTTTAAAAATTATACTCTAAATCTGAGGCATCTCTGTACGTGCTGTTTTTTCCTGTGGACTGAAAGGGAACCTAAAGTGACTAACTCTAATTTTAAATGCTTTAAGGCAATGAAATTCCACCAAGTATTAAATATTCTGATATCAAACTCTTTGACATAAAGGCAGATTTTTTTGACTTGATAAAACTCATGTTTACATTGTGTTTGTATTGGGGATTTTTTTGTTTTTTCAATGTGTTATGCATATTCTGTACATTGTAGCCTCATTACCTGTGAACGCAAAGTTGATGCAGTTACCTGGTGCTGGGTATGCTGTTTCTCTTTTGTCCCCGATAGCCTGTGAACTGTTGACTGATTACAGTCAAAGGAAGTGATAGAGAATTTAAAGCTAACTTATGTTTGAGGAAAGAGATATCAGGTTTTCATGTTACGTTTGCTTAATATTTGTTGATTTCATTCATTTGATATACGGGAATTAATAGGAAACCAGACTTCACTAGTTTTAATGCTTAGAGCAATCTTTGAGGGTTTCCTGTTTACAAGGCCAGACTCAGGATTTTTATCTTGGATGAAATTTTGGCTTTTTTATAATAAGTAGCAAAATTTGACAGAGCAACTGAGAATTCAGAGCATTGAGACATTGATGCATTGAAATTTTGGCATTTATTATAACTTTAATTATCACAGGCTAATAAGTTGCACTGTTTTAGCAAAGCTTCAGAAGACTCACTTTTAAGCAAAATTGACTGGTAGAAGTCAATATAAAATGTTAATGCATATACTTGTATGTTCAAGAGTTTGTATAAGTATTAATTAATTCACACAGCATTACTATAAAGTGGGTATTTTTGTACGGCCTCATGATACTAGCTGACATATGGAGGTTTTAACATTAAATTGGAGTATGGATTAAAGATTTCAGGTTAGGTACAGGACTACTTTTATATTACCACCAAAACCAGTGCTTTTTAAGGATGCATATGTTCTTTCTTTAGTGCTATTTAATAATCAGGTTGGACCATCACTATGAAAACACTAGTAGAAAACTGTTTCCAAGCATACCTATTTAGTATGACTTACTCCTCCTAACATCATCTTCTGCACTATGATTTAGGAATTAAGTATTACTCAGTGAAGTTTGTCCATTGTTTGTGACTAAATGGAATGAGTCAGTTTATGAAAAGCACTAAAATTCATCTCTTGGCTGCCAGCAAAGTTGTAAAAACGTCTCAGTCTAAAGTACTGAAAAGCCTCTAAACAGATGCTGAGAAGGTAAACTCAGGAACATCATTTAATTATCTGGAATGAGCTAAACCCTGGAATATATAGGAAGTAAGAGTTTCTGTACTTTTTGGTCTTAATTTTCAGAGGTTACTTCATAGGGCTTCAAGAGAAGTTCAATACTGAATTATTTAAGTTAATTTACGGCAGTTTATTTGTAGTAAGTGAAGATGGCAAGTATATAAAAACCGTCCAACTGAAGGAAAAAATGCCATTGTGCACAGACCTTTAACATACATGGTACAAGACTCAGTAAACTCAGTTACGAGCAGTGTGCCAAGTCTTTCTTCTTTTTTTTTTTAAATAATAATTCGATTCCCTAAAGCAGTGCTTCTCAAACTTTCTGATTCTTCATCAATAAATTAAGTTGTAGGCCACATCTTATTAGGTCATCTGCAAATTCAAAGCTATCATACTCCAGTATTAAAACGTAGATCTCTTCTGAAGTATACTGTCTATTCTTCAGAGTGACTATTAGCCTCAGAACGTATTTCTGCATTGAATATGACTCAGGAGTAAACTTTGTGGGCAGACTGCAATTTATCATCAGCTTTGTGCGGAATAGTAGAAAGATTTTCAAGGTGCACAGTAGCACTGACCAGAGCTATGCAAAGAAACATTTATCCAAAGGGATGTGATCCAGGCACAGTTCTGCTAAAAATACGGAAAAATCAATAGTAGAATATGGGAAATTGAGGGACATAGTTCATATTGATACCCAAAACAATTCAGATGTGGTGGTGGTGGTGTCTGTTAACTCCCTCTTCAGAGTTGCTTTAGCTGGCACTTTCAGTCTAAATACTATAAAATGTCCCAGTCAGTTTATGTAGCTTCCATGAGTGCCCTCCACGGGTATCAGGTGATTCTCTCTCAGATTATGAGTGTGCTGTAATTTTACCAACTTTTTTTGCATCATCCACTTATGTCTTCAGCATGTATATATCTCTGTGTGTTTATTTTAGTGGATTTTAACTTAATTTTTTTATTTTTATGGTTTTCACATGCCTAGTGCTGATAGCCCTTAGAAAACCTTGAGACTTCCTGAACTTTCATTTCATTGGTATCTCAAAACTTTAATGCTCTTGCATCACATAAGCCTTTCAGTTTCTGCAAAGTCATCTTTTAAGTGGTTGTGATACTGCTGAGTTTTTAGTCTGTTAGTGCACTGAATTTTCTGGGGTTTCTTATAACTGAGGCAGGCTCTTGCTTTTGCAGTCTCAGCTAGATAAGTCTCATGAGATTTTCAGATAAAATTCAACATCAACAGGGTGATACAAGCCCTATTTATACATAAAGAAAAATCTACTCTTAAAGTAAAATTTTTGCCTTGAAAAAGTAGTCAGTTGGAGATTAAAATATACCTGCTGCATATTTGTGCTTTTGAGATCAACAGAGTTCATCTTAATGGAATAAAACTTTCAAACATTACTGCTCACAGTCTGTAGTCATTTTTAATATCATCATAATTTAAACTAATTGAAAAATATTTGCAAAAAAATTCAAGCTGCCACTTACTGGTACAAAATTTAAATGAAAAATGCTGGTGTGTATAAGTGGGAGGTAGAAATGCATGTTAAAGACCATTCTGATTATAAATACCTTGTTTAATAGAAAAGTTGTGTAAAGGAATGACACTCTTGGCTCAGCGTCTCAGCAACTATTGATACTGCTAAAAATCTTGAGTGCCTGTAGATCTTTATTCATCTGTAGTTTATAACAAGTCAGAGTGAAATTAGTCTTCTAAAGGGTTCTGCTGTTTCATGAGAACACCACCTCCTAATTTTTGGTAGTTAATCATACATTTTGTATGTTCTACAGTGCTTGGTGTTGCTCAGGTTTCAGTTTTGTTTCCCATCTAGCTGAAATAAATTGTTGGGAGGATGAAAGGGAGATTGACATGAGGGTTTTTTTCCAGTGAGCTAGTTAAATCCAGATTTATGCTGTTCTCATAGAACCTGAGCCCGTTGCCACTATACAGTACTATGTATAGTGCAGTACAGTATATTCTCTGTCTGAGAGATATGTAGCTATGTATACAGACTAGCTGTATGAAATTGAGCAAGACAGAAAAACTACTGGGGAAAAAACCTACAGAGGAATATATTGATGCAGTGATGAGCAGTCATGGTTTGGTAATATGGGTTTCTGATTTGTGGGGCTTGTTAAATCCGAAGATGTACCAGGCCAGGAAATTTTTTTCCACCTACTTAGATGAATGTGCATTTCTTTTGGTCACCATTCTCTCTTATAGTTCTCAGTGCTCTATCCACATGATAGTGTATTCTGCATGGGGATACCTTTTGGATTTATTTGGGAATTAAAGCTTCTGCATATTGCTTGTGACTCCCTAAGAAGCTGTTTTGCATTGCAGGTGTGTAACAAAGCAAAAGTGATTGTATGCTGACATTCTGGATAGCTTACCAAAATGGCCCTGATAATGTTGGCTTTCTAGATACCTTGCAAATTCTGCCTTTTTTCCCCCCTTGAGTCTTTGGTGGAGAGGTAAAAGAAAAGGTGTGAAGGCTGAAAATGACATGCTACAATCAATATTTCTGCAAGTGCCTTGTTAAGCATGAATTATGTGATTTTTATTGTTCCTGTTAACTCTTGTTACTCTCTCCTTGCCCCATCAAGCAATTAACGTTTTTAGATACAAATCTGCCTTAGGTTACTTACAGGAGGAAGAAAAGGAGGGCAGTTATGCCACACCAAGCTGTTTTGGTTTTAGAGAAACGGTAGTCTAATTTTAGCCTAAGGACTATTAATATATGTACATCTAAAGGTGTTATACTACTCATTGTGGGAAGTTAGGTTATCAGAAAGACTACAGACAATTAGGGAGAAAAGGAACAAAGTATCAAGTATCAGAGCTAGTGATACAGTATGTGTGCTGTTGCTGTTTTCAGGTGCCTTCAGTGAGGCTGAGAGGTGTAAAGTATCTTCTTGGCTCCGTAATTATCCTTATGAGAATGCTAACTGGAAAGACTATACTACATTTATAGAGTATTTTTTAAAGTCTTCATTTAAAATTCAGTTTGAGTAAGATTTTTTGTATAACTACAGTCTTTATTATAGAGTTGCACTTGTAATGCTTTTAAGAACACAGGATGAGGTATCATGCATTAATTGTTAACTTGGAGAGCTTTCTTGTACAGGGCATTGACTTTCTGCTGTCTTGCACACCTTGTTCAATGAGCAGTTTAAGCAATAGAAGAAATGTTTGGTTTTGCTAATGTTTTGAGAGAACTGTTATATGACCTGAGGGGCATGAAACGGTTAACCTCTGGCAAGCCATATTCTATTAGATTACCTATTAAATGCTGTTTTAGTTAGTAATGCATTGTACATGTATCCAGAGTATTTTATGTAAGATTGGTATAAGTCGACTAAAGAGATTTTTTTCTTTTTGAGCATTTTTCTGTAATTGATTGTAGTTATCTGTCTTAAGCATTTTTCCCTGTTTTTACCTGTAGTATGGATGGAGCAGATCTGTGTTTTGAAATTGTGAAGAGAGCAGATGCTGGATTTGTGTACAGCGAGGCTGTAGCAAGGTATGTATTATAATTTTAATTAATCCCACAGGTTAAATGGGAAAGAATGGAATATACTGTTGTACAATCTGGTAGCTAAAAGTTGGAATACTAGAAATAATCCTGTTTCTACGGTCTGAATGTTTATTACAATAATTCACATAATAAAAGTAGAATTTTGGAGAATTTTGTCATTTACTTAATGACATACTTAATTCTCTTTCTTTACCTTTTATGGCTCTCTCACACAATGGCATCAGGTGACTTGCCTGACAGGTGTGAGTTTTATTCGTCTTGTTAGATGGAGTCGTCTTTTTTTTTCTTTCTTCTTTTTTATATATCACTTTATTTATGGTCACTTCAACTTTTCACTTATGAGGTAAACTAAAATCAAAGAGTCTATATAATTGCAGAAGGACAACAAAACCCAACATCCTAGTGGCATGATAATTGAGCTTAAAGCCCGTGAGATTCTTTGTTTGCTTTTCTTGACGCTGCAGATTTTTTAGCATCATAGAAGCCAGGTTGGAAGAGACATCAAGAGGTCTCTGCTTCAACCTCCTGCTCAAGGCAGGGTCAACACTGCATTTGGATCATGTTACTCAAGGCTTTGTCCAGTGGGGTCTAGAAAACCTCCAAGGATGGAGATTCCACATCCTCCCTGGGCAACTTGATCCAGTGCCTAATTATGTTCCTAGGGAAAAACGTTTCCCTATAACCAGCTGGAACCTCCAGAGGACAAGGATTGCCTCCCTTAGCCCACTAGTAATGTTCTGCCTGATGCGGCACAGGATGCTGTTGGCTTTCTTGGCTTTCTAGTATGGTCAGTAATCTGTTAGGGCATCCTTTGGACATAGGGGAGAAAGAAGTTAGTCTTCAATCTGCATCAAGCAAGCAAAGACCTTGGTTCTATCCCTTTCTAGATAAATCGGGCACTGATACTCACTTGTTTCCTTTCTGTGTTTTGTTATAAAAAAAACTGAAGGGTCCTGACTTCCTTGTCATATGAAGCAGAATTATTGAACATTTGAAAGCTTTACAAAGTGGAAAATGCAGATTTTTCTTTCTAATTTTCCTTGGCTTCAATCAGAATAATCCACAAACTTTAGGTTTTATTATTTATTACTATAAACACAAACTCCATTCTACTGAACTCTGTATATTTAAGGTTAAGTTGGTTGATTAGTTTTATATAGTTTGACTCTTAAAACTTAGTTTGTTATATGTGTATAGTAATTTTTCCTGCAGGTTTGTCATGTATGATGTCTTTGTTCTTTCAGTCATTACATGAGACAGATATTGGAAGCTCTACGTTACTGTCATGATAATAATATAATTCACAGGGATGTGAAGGTAAGGGGATTTAATTCTTTTTTTTTCTTCAATAATACAAACTACTGAATTTTTATTTCTGGAATTTAGAGGAAAGGGGAAGCTGTAGAAAAGGAAGCTATATTTGCTGAGTGTGTCTTTACTCTTACTGTGTCATGTAAGATTAAAGCCCATCTCTAATTCCATCAATATAGAACATTTAGGAGGTCTTTATTCACAGATTACATATGCATTTGATTGCAACTTACCTTGAAACTCAGTTTAATTTCTAGTCTTTGAATATTCGTATGAAATCTGCTTGCATTTTTTTTCATGTTAGGAAAATGTGTATATAAATTAATTGCATAAATTAAACTGGAGTTGGTAGATTAATGGCATCGTTTTGACAGCATAATGACAGTCTTCATCCAAACTAAGATTTCAGAGAGATGCACATGCTTAAATGCTACAATATTGGTAGTAGTATCTACTTTTTGCAAGCAGTCGTAAACATTTATTATTGTGAAAACTTCTCTAATACAAACAAGTTTGGGAGGAGAAATACAGTGTTTAAGAACAGTGTATGTACATACTCTTTCTGACCTGATGAATTTTGTAGTATTTCTATGGATATTTATGGAACTAGTTTATCCCAAAGTACTGTAATGTAAGTAATTGGGAGTTTTAACCTAAGTGGGTTTGGCTGTCTTCAATTTGAGCATACATATTCTTTGTTAATGTCATTGTCTAAGATAGTTATTCCCACTTCGTCTTCTCTAAAAGTTTGCTTTTATCCAAAGGAAGTCAAGCACTATAGGAATTAACGAAAATTCTAATGAGCTCTGATAGTGCAGTTTGAGAAGTGAATCTTGGGGTTTAGTGAATAGAGAAGATTGAGAGAGGGTAAGCTGTGCTTCAAACTCCTACAGGTGATCTGTGAAGGAAAAGAGTACGGACACTGAACTGATGATTTTCATTTAAGGAGTCATTTGGTCTTGCGTATGCAGGCATTGCAGACCTTTCCCAATCTCTTTCTCCTTTCCTTCTAAAATCAAGAAAATTATTCCATGTAATAGGCTTTTTTTTAAGTTTGGTATTTTAAAAGTAATTTCTTACAGCAGATTCTAAAGACGGCCTGGTAAAATGTCTCATCTTGTTCTGTCTTGACAGTTTCTAGATTCTTTTAATTGTTCATTTTTGGTACCACATGAGAATTTCAGAATTAATATCATCTTTATGTTACTGTGTCTTCCTGAAAGCTGCATCTGTTTTTGTGGGACCATGTTATTGAACGAAAACAAATTTCCGTTTCAAGGGCCTCTGAGGGACGCTCATTTTACTGTGTGTAAAACGGGGATTTATTTTGCAGCTTATCCAGTCTGAAAACTTTAAAATCACCATTTTTATTAAATACCATCCTTAGAAATAAACCTGTTCAATTACATGAGTGAGTAAGAATTTTTAAATGTATCAGTCTAAAGTAGTGTAAACCAACAGACAGTGTTTCATCTTGGCAAAAGCAGCGCAGAAATATAACTATAGGGTTTGGGTATAGAACATATTAAGCTAACTGCAATATCCCAGCTCTAGATGTCACTGTAGACATTGTTTTGAAAGGAAGTAGACTAAGTGACCAATTTCCAAATTATCTGAATGGATTAAAGTGGATTAATAAAAATCTGTAAAGTTGATACAGTCACACTACATTTTTTCCCTCTTAAGCTTTCTGTGAATGTTATTTTGAACTGCAGAATGCTTGATCATCATCTGATGCACAGGAAAATTTGCACCTTACAGTCCCTGTAAGAATTAGGTGTCTTTTAGCCACTTTTTGTGCTCCCTTAGCTCTCAACTGATTAGGAAGAGTTAGACAGGAATACTTCAGTTTGCTGTAGTCTGGTGCCAAAAACTTCACCTGGCTTGTGTAAGTGACAAGTTCTACCAAAGCTTCTGGAGCACTATGACTGCAGCCTATGGTAAACTCCTGTATACTCAGATTCACCTCCAATGACAGAAACAAAACATGAAAACTTTCACAAGATGGCCTGTAGTTGTCTTAATTTCCTTCACTGCTCTGTGAGACCAGACGTTTCTGGAGCCTCTGTACATCGTTTGACCCCCTTCAACATTGCTTAAAGGCTTTATAATCAGTGACAATTGCACCTTTGCTTCATCTTCAATTAATGTGATCCAGCATTCATTCATTCATTCCTTGGAAGTTGGATTGTGTAATATGGAAAGTAGAAAATGCTAATGCAGGAAGGTGGAAAACTCAAGACAGCTATGCATCAGAAATGTGAATGTCAAGAACTTTTTCCCTTACCACAACATTTATTCCTATTCTGCCAACCTAGTGATATAGGACTCAGCCATTCCTTTTATTCTTTCAGAACCTTGCTGTGTCGGAAATACCCAGAAGATGGCTACCAAAAGTAGCAACATTGAAATGGGGTCTTTTCCAATATAGAATGTTATTACACAGTAGTTTGTATACAGAATTATCTTTATGGAAGAGAACAAAAAAAGGGAAATGGGAGTAATGTAGGTCTGAAATGAGATGCTTGTCTTTTTCCATAAAACCCTTGCTAGAGTTTGAGTACCGTTTGTCACTGAAGTCAGCCACTTTCTCTTGAGCTGTCAGTATTAGACAATAATGAAAGTATTTTGTGAATATAGTCATTAAAAAGTTATGAGTGGGAGAGGACCTTTAAAACAGGACAAAGAAATAGGAGAAAAATGGCTTATCTCTTTCTTCCAAACGTCCACTTCACTATATTCTGTCCTGCAAAATAGTGTTTTCTCTTACTTCACCTTCAGGAATAAGAAAGTAACAAATTAGGTTAACTCTGCACTGAAGTGGTTTTTCTCTTAATATAAATACAACTGAAGATAGTTCTCTTGTATACGACAACATATTTATTACAGGCAATAATTCATGCCTCGAGATTTAATGGAACTAAAAACAAGTAAGCAAAATGTGCTCTATAGCTGTAATCTTTCTTCAAGAAAGAGAAAAATTAATAGTATGCCTCTGCAACTCTTAACTGTGAAGGATACCACTGATCATTGAACTTCCTTAGGTTCTGTGCTATAGAATTATTTTAATAATTATGATTTTAAAAGCTGAAAGTGGTGGTTTTGTTATAAATAGGTGAACTTGAATATTCCCAGTCCCTATGGAAGTTAATGTGGTGTGGAGTACCTAAAGCAGCGTTGTGCGTTTAGCGCAGTCACATTTGGTCAGCATTCAATACTTTGAGCTGTTATATTCTCAGTGTGTGGGAAAAGTTGCTTTATCTTGTCTTGACAGTTTCACTGAGTTACCTGCTAGTAAGAGGATAGACTAACATTGATCTTGGTAGAAGACTTTTGTGCTGGTTACTGAAAGTAGAATGTGATTTAGCTCAAGAAATAGACTGTTTAAGCATTGTGTAAGTTACAAAGCAGGACAGTGTTCTATAAAAAGTGCATTTCTTCAGTGTTTATTGCAGATTTTTTCACCTGTTCACTTTTGCAATAACTTCAATGGAATGTTTTTTTATCAGTAAAACATCAAGAGGTTTTACAATCTTCGGTTAGCCTATATTGTGATGCTTATGTAGCATTTTATATAGTTGCCAAAATCTTGTTATAAAAATACCTTTTAATATAATTGATACAAGAGTAATTTAATCACATCAAGAACTTTAATTGCTGGAGTTTTAGCCTTAGTTCGCTCCAAATACTCCAACTTTGTTCTATGATTTCCATCTAGTTTTCTCGTATGTGTTTCTGTGATCAGTAAAATGTTTGGTGTGCAACTGGAGTCAGGGCAAGCTTGTTGGCTAAAGGGAGACACCCAAAATTTTTATTATAGGTTTATCTCCGTAGGTATGAATGCTTGTTTGCAACATGTGGTCATCTAAATAGGTAAAACTGCTAAAGCAAAAATACACGGGTTCTGCCTTCTCTGCTGTAAGATTCAGTTCAGTATTTCTGTGACTGGAAGTAAAAACACTTTGTCCAGAAAGTAGGACTAAGCATTATGCACTATGTTGTGTGTCATATACAAATCTCAGTTGGTCCAGGTGACTTGAGACTTGATCTGTGAATAGATTTCCATGTTGATTTATGTGCTGTACAGAACTTAATTAACCATACAAATTCTGAGAGCACACTCACCACTTCTGTCTTTCATTGCCTAAACTACTTGTAGTTAGGCACTTCAGATTTTGCCAGTAGAGTTCAAGACTCTTTGACTTCTGCTTTTACATATATATAGAAAATGAGTAAGGCTTGTTCATAGCTGTTTATGTATATTTATGTAAGTGTATATTCAACTACATAAAAAATAACCGGAATAGAAACTGTTCTTTAAGACCATCTTCTCTTTCCAGTCTTTCAATATCGAAAACAAGAAATCTGTTGCATGTTACTTTCCTTCTCCACTTTTCATTTCAGCATGGAACCTCTTTTATGCTTTCTGGGGGCAGTCAGTAATAACTGGTGCTTTTGATGTATTTTCTAGAAGTTATTAGATCCTTGAGATCGAGTAGTAACTGCTTTGTGAGGACTTCATTACATATTAAATTGTTAAAAGGTTATTAAGGCTGCAAAATCAATAGCAGAGGTAGAATTAAGGTGTCCTATCTGGCCATGTTTTTCTGAGGAGCACTTCCTCGTTCAATGCAGAAGTTAAGAGGCTCCAACAATAAAGCTTTCAGTATTTTTTTCCTCAATGGTTCTTCAGGTAGGACTTCCCCCCAACCCCTAGTTTATGTCCACTCCTGTCCTGTATATATGGTTGCTATCTGAGTCCCTGTTTCTTCTTTTGTCCTGCCCTTTTCCTAGTGTAATGTTAGCTGGCTGCTGGGTGTTCAGAAGCAGTTTTGCTGAGAAGTATATTTATGCTGCTTGGCCTACTTAGAGCTCAACATCTACATGCTTTCTGATCAGGAAGTTTATATATTATTATATATTATTTATATAAGCCTACAGAGGATGGAAGCAAGGACAGGTAACCTGGGAGGAATACAGAGAATTTGTCCGAGCAGCCAGGGATC